CAGTGTTTTGGGGGAAATGAACAAATTACCTAAGGTACTCATATATTGCAACCCCAATTTTACTCTAAAATTAATCCTAAACTTTAAACTCATCTTTACAAATCTTGTGTTTAAGGATAAGCAACCAAGAGAGCAACCTTGAAAGAGAAGGAGAAAGATGCATTCTTAGCCTTGCCTTTGGGAAAGAATGCTGTTTTCAAGGAAGAAATACTAGGATCCTAACCTCGCCTAGCTTCTTCAAAACTCCTTTTGATCATTGAGTGGGTAAGTACTGTGCCTGTTCTCCTGATTCAGTCTCCAGGGACAAGGGACAGAATACGGCAGCATCTTTTCTTATTTTTGGTAGAGCCATGTTTTTCAAACTGACAGTCACAACCCATTTGTGAGTAACAACGTCAATTTAATGGGTGATGAGGAACAATTTTTTCATAGAACAGAAGAGAACAAGAATTATCAGAGTGCATCAAATTTCACAAGGTCAAATATTGTTTCGTAAATTTTATTTCAGTTATGGAGCACACACATACTGTCGTAAAATGTATTTCTTACTGCCAGAGTTTCAACATTACCACCACCGAAAAGAAATTACCGTCTACTGTCTGCTTAGTCTAGAGACTGAACACAGAAAAGAATAACAAGATATCTAAAAAGGTTTGAGCATTGGTTCCTGTGAACTTGAAATAAAAGTTTCATGGCAAAAAAAAAGTTATATACAATGAATTGGGGGGAGATTTCAGGGGGTTTCTGCATTTTTTTTTCCTGAAAACGAATCTTTCATCACTGCTCTCTCCTGCAAAGTTCTGATTAATCCAGAAAATACAGTATCCCTCAGCTGCTGAGTGACTGGGTGTGCGGGCTGAGCTGACACTGGGCTGCGCGCTCAGGTGACTGCAGAGCATCTTCAGCTCTGGACCCTAACAAGGGGAGCAGTGGGCCATAAGCGAGGCCTGGGTCTTCAGCTCTGACCTTGGGGAAGCCGCAGCCTCTCTAGGTTGGTTTTCTCATCTCTAAAATAAAGAACACGATCCAGATGATCTCTAATTTCCCTTCCAGCTCTAAACTCTCCTAAGTCTATAAGCAACGGCTAGGAAATTCATTGGACTAAATGAATTAAGAGTCCTACCACCCATAAGATTTCATTCGTAAGTGCTTAATTCCTTATTTGAAGAAGAACTAAATACTTATACACTCAAGAAACTAACTCTCAAAATTTTGTAAGAAAACCAAATTATATGTGAGAGGTTTTTTTTTATGTTCCTACATAAAAAATTTATGTCCTTATACATTTATGTTCCTACTTAAAAAGACTTTAGGATTTTTAATGGTACAATAAAAATAAAGCATGTATAAATTTTCTTACAAAACACTTCCACTGAAAGACTAAAAAGGTTGACAATCTCTCTTAATTTTACATCTCTAAACGGGCTGTCCCCTAACAAGCCCTATTCAGAACATTCGACAGCTCAGCAGTATCCTCAAATGGCCTGCTCACATGCAAAAAAAAAAAGCTCCACTGAAAACATCAAATCTGATCAGCTTCAAAGCTTAATACGCACTTTGCTCACAGAAGGTCTAGTTCTTCTGAAACTATGCTCAAATGAAACCCACTTATGAAACACTTTTGAGAGAATGCCTAATATATTCTTAACAGCTGTCCCTGCCACTTTATAAACATTTGGCATCCTGACCCACGAGACTAATACTTCTACTGATGTCTGCAAAATATGACAAATGATGTTCTTATAGCTCTAAAACAAAATTTCATTTTGCCTATGCAGTTAGTGAGTAAACATCTAAAGGCAAATTGCACTGCATTACAGGAGTGTGAATGTGAGTCTGTGGGAAACAGAAGAATGTACCTACCACACCTACTTTCCAGAGGAATAATGTTCCTTTTAAAATAGTGGTTTCAAATATGCCTCTCAAAAAGGGGGAAAGCATTTAACACAACATACATGTTGAGAATACAGTTACAGATTCTAAATAATATTCTATAAATATAAAAGGCCACCATAAAGCAAGCCTTTTGTTTATTTTGTTATTGCAGTTGTTTCTAATGTACAAATTCTGTTTCCCAAGATGAACTAAAAAATTAAAGAAAACCATCTCGATAGTCAGTTCAGATAGTTCATCAATAGTAAAAATAAATTTTAAAAAGGAAAACTTAAGTTAATTTAAAAGTTGGCAACAATATTCTCTTTACACAACATACATAATCTTATCCATTTCAATTTTAGTAACAATTCAAAGAAAGGAAACATAATTATAAATATACAAAAATTTGGATTACACAACTAGCTTTTTATTATTAAAAAAATAAATGTAACATGTTCATTAAAAAATTTTAGGAAAAAATTAGTATGTATCCTTTTAATCTTTTTTCTATGCACATATACACTTTTTCTTAAATGGGATCATACTGAATACTACTTAGGATTTTTAAGACACTCAACTCAAATTATTAACAGTCTAAGCAAAAGTAGAGAATTTATTAACTCACATATCAAATCAAGAGAAAAATGGGGGTGAACCTAGCATAAAAGGAAACTGGCCAAAGACCTCTTTGGGTCTCTCTGCTCTTCTCCGGGGGTTAATGTCATTGCCTGAGACCAAACCACTTCTCTCCGAGACTGTGACCACAGCTTCAGGGAGCTGGCTCTAGGCCCAGGACTCGACAGTAAACATTCTGATTATTAAACAGCATTTCTCTCCCCCAGCTTCAATTTGAAAACCCCAGGAAAGAACCCTAATGGCCCGGCTTGGGTCAAGTGTGCACCCTTATAGCCAGGAGTGTGTAAGCAGAGGGCAGCTGCAATGCGAACCTTGAAGCTAGAGTTGAGAGAGGTGAGAATGGAGGGGAGGGAAGATGGAGGCAGCACAGACACAGCCGGTGGAGAGAGATGAGCTGAGCAGCCGTCTCAAATTCTGACTAACATCTTCCGCAACCACAGTGTTACAATCCGCTTTTCTCACCGAACACAGTGCTAGGTATATACACATCAGAAGTACTCGACAATCTTTTTAAAAATAGGTACTCAGGTCCCACTCATCTGTAAGGACTTCTCTAGAAGGATTTACACAAAGTATTTTCCCATGTCACTGACTATTTCTTAGAAACATGGTTTTTAATAGCTGCACAGAATTCTGATGTGGTTCTAAAGTTCTTAAATTTAATTTTATAACTAAATCCAGACAAACCACATACCATCATGATCTTTTTTGAACACAATACTCTCAAGAGTCAAAAGGCATTTATGAAAGCACCAACCGCTGCCATCTGTGCCACACCTTTCTCAGAAATTATGCCAAAGGCTTCTTTGTGGGGGGCGGCAGCAGGCGGTGGATTATGGGGAAGGTGGAGACACTTAAGCCATCCTCTGAGACTCGCCATTTGTTAAAATCTACACCTGAGGGTTATTTAAACAAATGTCTTTAGGGACAAGGATACAATATACCTCCAAGTAAAGCAGGAAAAGCAAGGTTTGTCACAATTTAATTAAAGTAAGACTGAAGATTAAAAACACACACTATAACCCAACCATTTGAGGTAAGTCAGTGACAAGAGGAAAAAAGCAGCCTGTGTGAAGTCTCGGGAAATGAAAACCAGAGTAAGACTCTGTCACATGCCTCTCATACGAGGAGCAGGGGGACGCCTGCGAAGGATGTAAGCCAGCCTCTCTGGTCTGTTAACTTTAGTCACTAGGATCACGCAACTAATTTCCCTTGCTGATGTCATGCTTACCAATCAATCCCTTAAGGACACTTTGGCTTTCTATCAGTAAGGAAAGACACCAACCCACCAGGTGTGGACAAAGCTGACAAGGAGCTGAAGCACAGGACCTGGACCTTCTCTACTTTACCCTGCCAAAGGAATGCCAGCTCAGAAAGATCCACAGCAGCCATAGGCCAAATCCTTTTTCTGACAGCTCTTCTCTTTTCTCTTTAAAGAAACTATTTCCAACGGCCTACTGATTGGCAACATGAAAGCGTCTTTAAAAAGGATACAACTGAACGACAAAAAAACAAACAGCCGGATCAAAAAATGGGCAGAGGATATGAACAGACATTTTTGCAAAGAAGAAATACAGATGGCCAATACACACATGAAAAGATGCTCAACATCACTAATCATCAGGGAAACGCAAATCAAAACTACACTAAGACACCACCTTACGCTTGTTAAAATGGCTATAATCACTAAGACTAAAAATAACAAATGTTGGAGAGGGTGTGGAGAGAAGAGAACCCTCACACACTGCTGGTGGGAGTGCAAACTGGTGCAGCCACTATGGAAAACAGTATGGAGATTCCCCAAAAAACTAATATAAAACTACCATATGACCCAGCTATCCCACAACTGGGTGTCCACCCAAACAACTTGAAATCAACAATCAATCCAAAGTAACATATGCACCCCTATGTTCATTGCAGCACTATTCACAATAGCCAAGACGTGGAAGCAACCCAAGTGCCCATCAACTGATGACTGGATAAAGAAGATGTGGTATACATATATACAATGGAATACTACTCAGCCAGAAAAAAAGACAAACTCATCCCATTTGCAACAACATGGATGGACCTGCACGGAATTATGCTTAGCAAAATAAGCCAGACTGAGAAAGACCAACATCAGATGATTTCACTCATATGTGGAATATAAACAAGCACATGGACAAAGAAAACAGTTCAGTGGTTACCAGGGGAAGGGGGGTGAGGGGTGTGCAGAGGGGGTAAAGGGGAGCAACCATGTTGCGACAGACAAGAAATAATGCACCACTGAAATTTCACAATGATATAAACTAAAGGCTACATACTGGGGCTGACCCAGCGCCACAGTGGTTAAGTTCGTGCCCTCTGCTTCAGCAAGCCCAGAGTTTGCAGGTTTGGATCCCAGACGTGGACCTAGCACCACTCATCAAGCCACACTGTGGTGGCATCCCACATAAAATAGAGGAAGGTTGGCACAGATCTTAGCTCAGCGACAATCTTCCTCAAGCAAAACAGAGGAAGAATGGCAACAGATGTTAGCTCATGGCCAATCTTCCTCACGAAAAAAAAAGGATACATACCACCTGGTCAAATGAGAAGGCTAAGACAACAGAACTCTATGAGTAAAAAAGATAATCACTGAGGAATGAGGAATTATTAAGTAACAGGAAGTTATCAAGGCAAAAACATCCTGTAAGCAGTCAAGATCTTATATCCCCATATTTCAGTAGAGCTCAGAACAAGATTTACAAGAAACCAAGAGAACACACGTGAAGGAAGTAGAAGCAACTTCTAACGACATGACAATTAAAGGGAACCACAAAGTCCTTCTTGAGAGACCAGCTGTCCCCATTTCAGGGCATGAGGGAGCTTCTGCCATCACTGGAGCCCTTTGTTACTGCTGTGTGGTCACTGCTTCTCTGCCGAAAGCCACCCCCACCCACGGTATCTACTGCTGTAATGGTCTCAAGCCACGCCCAGCACTGAAGCAGCCACGACAGTCCGCAGCGGCACCGGCACCGTAAGGTGGATTTCGCTAGGGAGAATAGGTGACATCCAATGTCAAGACTGAAACATGCAGGGTCAAAGGAAACATTCAACTTGAGAGAGAGATCAAATCACCTAGGAGTGATAGGATATGCAAGTACTTTTTTAGTAGTGAAACCCATTTTTTCAAATGAACTTGGAAGAACCATATCAAGCAAATAATAGATAAGGTCATTGGTAAAGAAAACAAGTTATTCCTAAGTTCATGTAACATGAACTTTACAAGGTCAATAAGTGAGAACAATGAGGTTATTTTTAACATAAATAATTCTAAATGAAAGGTTTGTAGATAGGAACAGTCTTATATCAGCCTTAATACCCAAGTTCTATGTTTTTTTAAATTCAGAGTCAAGAAATCATGAAAGCAAATTGTTCCAAATTAGTGTTAATAGCTTTCCTTTTAATCTCAGGATCCTCCTACAACTGACCCCCAAACTTGAAAAAGAAATTATAAGGAATGTTTACTTCTAGGTTCAACCACTAGCAATAACAACTACTATGGTTATCATGAGTTGTTCATCAAAAATAAGGACAAGAAGTACCCACAAGTGACAATAAGCAGCAAAACTATCACAGAGCACTATCACCTCTCGACCTGTTTTGTGTCCCTTGGTCATTGCATAACTCTCCCGTCAGCACACACGGAGCAGATGCGCGGGGCTGGCACCTCCCGCAGTGGTGCACTGGCCAACATGTGCAGGCCTGCATTCTACAAAAGACCTGTGCACTGGAACCGTCTTCCTCATCAATGACACACTGACATCAAGAATCTGAACAAAGATGGCAGACAGAGCTTTATTCAGGTCTGTCCCCAAACCGGTTAACCTGGTAGCACAGATCACCGTATTATTGATCTCCAATGCGTAAAAATGTGGCATCCACCACATTTTGAACATGCATGCTGAGCTTTTTTAAAACGGTTAAAAACACAAACAAAAGGAATTAAGTAAACAAATCGCAGAACTCCTGAAACATCTTTTACTAATGATCTACAGTAAGTTTGTCAGAGGTCAGCTCTGCGTATTGAAGAGGTGGTGGTGACAATGAGGGTGTATGAAAGAGAAAACAACCGCCCTGTTGAGTAATCTGTTTTAGAAATTTGCCATTGTAAAATTAACTGCAATGTTGCTAAGAAAAATATTTCTAAGATCTTCTTGTTCTGTACACTGCTGTTCACTTATAGTTGGATGAAGCCCATTATCCTGACCTATTTTTACTATAACAAATCAGAAATAAACCTGGTTGAAAAATCAAGGTTTCTTTTTATCACTGGAGAAATAGTCATTTTTATGGCACATTTTGACTTTCTCCTGTCCTTTTTACCTTTACCTAAGAACGTTCACATCCATTTTTTCCCAAAGTATAGGTTATACAGAATTATAACTTCTGATCTGCCGATGTGGATAATGAAAGCACACTGCTTCTTCCTGGTGGTTAAGAGCATGGAATGTGCAGCCAGACCTGACTTCACTACCACCTGTGAAACCCTGGACAAGATCCTTAACCTCCATGCCTCAGTTTCCTCATCTGTAAAAGAGAGATAATAACAGGACCTACCTCATAGGGTTGTTATAAGGATTCAAGAAAATGGTACATAAGCATTTAGGAAGCATTCACTATTACATTTTAAAGAACAACTTAAAGGAGTCAAAATGCTCCACGACTGAATCGACTAACAAATTAACTCAATAAATTTTCTGACAAAACTTCTAAAAATGTTAGATGTATTCAAAACAAAACGAATTTCATTACACCATGTACCATTATTTAGAGAAGTTGTTCCTTAAAAGCTCACAGGAGTATCTCAGAACTACCTGAGAATTAAGGAAAATGAAGAACGACTTTCTTCACAGTTTATAAGCATAAAATAAAACTGTTGGGACCGACTGGGTCATGCCAAGCAAGAACGCGGTTCCTGTGTTCAGTTTCAACGACAGCTACAGACTTTGTTTAAAATTTCTTTAAGCAGAAAAAAGAAAGAGGACGCTTAACTGCCTTATTCCTGGAACAACAGAGCAAGACAGCAAGATACAGGAGGAGCTGTGCAAGTATTTTCCTTGGAGGGGACAGGGGGCAGCAGTTCGCAAGTTTACTGTGGGATGCAAAGGACGGGGTAAGAGGACATTTGAACATACAAACACAAGCATAAAAGAGGAGGGAAATTCTTTCTTAGTTATGGTGAGTTTGATCTCCCAATTTTTAAAACAATGGCATAAAATTAATCAATAGAGCCTCTAAGGAACAGAATGCAACAAATGCTCCGGGTACCAAAGTTCCATCTTCGAGCTTCGTGCGGTCGTAAAGTTTTAGACAAATCAATCCTTTAGTTTACGTTCACGTGTGAGCAACAATCGGCACAATGCTCCCACCGAAGGGCCGGTACGGGCCCTCAGAAAGAGAAACCAACCTGCCCGTTTGCAGAGACGCAGGGCAGTTTCTTCCAGGAGAGGCAGCAGGCATGCTTGGACAGGGGGCAAAAGAAGGGCAGGAGGAGAACGGAGGGGAAACAGTGCGTATCTGCTTCCCGAGCGTCGACTTCTTTACTTGAACAGGGGCGGAGGGAGAGGGCGCATTTTCCTCTAGCACCGATGGAGCAATTTCGGCGCGGCCCCCGCTCCGAAGCTCGCGGCGACAGAGGGGTCGCAGCTCCCGCAGGACCCGGGTGCCCCCCCACGCTCCGGGCGAGCAGGGAAGCTGCAGGGAGGGCCAGCAGGCTGGGCGCCCGGGCACGGGACCCCCGGCACCCCCGGCCTCGGCGCCCGGGTCCCGGGGCTGCACCCCGCCCTCCGGCCCGGCCCGGGAGCTGGATGCTGCCCCCAGCACCTGGCGGGAAGCAGAGGCCCCCACGCCCCCTCGGCCCCCCACCGAGCCCGGGCCAGGACGAGCCCCGCCGTGGGCGCCGGGCGGCGGCCCCACTCACCTCGCCGACCGGCAGCGCTCGGGCTCCGGTTCGGGCTCGGGTTCCGGCGGCGGCGGCGGCGGCTCCTCCATGGCGGCGGCGGGGGTGACGGCGGAGGCGGGCGGGGGCACCAGCTCGGCGGCGGCGGCGGCTTCTCTCATCCGTGCACGGAGCCCCGCATGGCCGCGGCGGGCAGGAAGCTGCAGCCTGGCGCGGGGCACCGGAGCCCCGAAGTGCGGGAGTGACTCGGCTCCGCCTCCGCCTCTAGCCCGCCGCAGGAGCCGCTCGCGCCGCGGCCATCTTGGAGACGGCGACCGGCCAGCGCCGGGCTACGGCGGGCGGCGAGGGACAAGCCTCCCAGGGCGGCGGCGGCGGCGGCGGCGGCGGCGGCGGCGGGCGCTCGAGCCGGCGGGCGGGCTGGCGGGCGGGCCGGCGAGGGGCGGGGCGGAGGGGGCGGCCCCGGGTGGCCGGCGGCGTGGGCGACCGAGGCGGCGGCGCTGGAGGCACGTCGGAGCAGCGGCGCTTGGCCCCGGGGGCCGAGGTCTGGCGGCCGCCGCCGGGTTTCGCGGGCGGGGAGCGTGCGATGGGCTGTGCGCCCAGGTGGTCGGCGGTGGGCGTGCACGGGGGACCCGGGAAGGGCAGCGCGGCCGCGGGGAGGCGGCGATGCCTGACTTCGAAGTGCTTTGTAAACTTCAGCGAGTGGCTCACCGCCAGAGGTGATGCCATCCTCAGAAATAGGGCTGGATGTAACGCAGGCGCTCACAACTCACACGCGGGCGTGGAAGCTTTGGGGGACCCGTGGGTCCCGGGGCAGGGCGAGGGTGCGCTCTGATGAAAGAGCAATCTTCAACGGACACATCAAACTCAGATCAGTGTTTTTGATCACATCAAAACCAGTGATCCAGCCTAAGCTCAGTATCACGAGGTTGTGTACTGATCTTCCAGAAATGGGCTGGAGTGCTCCTGTAGCGAAGGAAAAAAAGTTCTAAAGGAGTATTTCAGAGTTACAGAAATACTGTTGAAATTCCCCTGCATCGTGTACTCTTAGCACTTGAGGCTTCACAGTTTTAAGTTGCAGATATTTACAGAATTTCCAATGGGGTGAAGTCCAGGGTTGATTCCAAATAGCATCATTTAAAATTAAATACATTTCTATTCATTCAAATGCACTGGTTGTAAAACCTCGTTCCGTTGAGCTTGAATATGTAAAATACACGTTTTGGATAAATGTTGGTAAGAAAACTGACTAGACAGAAAAATTTAAATATGATTATATTTACAGGCCAGTTGTGAAATGAGCTCTGTTGTGCTCAAAGTACGTTACGGAAATTTCTCTGTAGTTGAAAAACTGCTTCAATCCATTTTCTATATCATGATAGTGTGTATTATGTAAATGGCCTCATAGTGCTGGATTTCAGAAATGACATTTATTTTATGTATTTAACAACATTCATTCAACAGATACTTCTTAAATGTGTATATGTGTAATGATCTATCCTAGATGCTGGGCATATAGCAACTAGCAAAACAGACCAAGTCTTTTCCTCATGGAGCTAACATCCTACTTAGGTAAGAGGAAGAGAGAAAACAAAAGAAAAATAAATAAGTGAATCTATAGCTAATCAGCCAGTGATAACTGCTATGGAGAAAAGTAGCCAGGAAAGAGGTGGGAGAGGGGAATGCTGTTTTACCCAAATTGGTCAGGCTAAAGTTAAATGATTTTGCCATACAACTATTTCAAAAGAAAATTGTAATAGATTCTTACTTACTGAATTTCAAATTTTCTTTGCAGATCGTTGTATGAGCAAATCGTTTAACTTTCTCCTCACTAACTCATCTTTAAGTACTTTAATATTTTGAATAAGTCATGGTTCACAAATCATTCCCAAGAACAGTCAGCCTGGGGCCTGTCCTCAAGTCTCCAAGCTTGCAAATCTGTGATATTTGACATATAGACCAGCATTTGGGAGAATGAGTGGTTTTTGTCATTTTAATTTCCACTTGAGAGTATTGTGTATTTTAGCAGGAACCAAACAAATTTACATTTAACTAGTCATGTAAAGCATCACACACAGAAACCACAGTCTGCTAGTACTAAATATTTAGTTGAAGTGCAGTGACTTTTTTCTTCATTCAAGTCAGTTAGGCGTCCTGGGTCAGCCTGTCTTGTTACTTGTGTTCTCCTATTCTGTGCAACTTCATTTCAGCAGTTCAGTATCGCACGTTTCAAGATCTGAAGTTACTTCCTTCTTACCCACACCAGCCTCAAACCTACCCCTTGCTGTGTTCTGACTTGGGTGGCACACTTCATCCAGTCAGAACTCTGAACAACCCCTCCTGCAGCCCCCTGACCAATGAGTCCATAATCCTGTCAAATTCCACCTCCTCTCAAATCCATTCACTTTCCTCCATCCTCACTGCTCAGACCACGCTCATATCTCACCTGGATAATCGCAACAGTCTCCTGGTACCCTGCCTCTATGGTGTGTCCACTCCCAACCCCATCTTTTCCCACAGTGCACTCCCAAGCGTCTTTCTGAAGCTCCATCAAATGTGTCACTCTCTTACCTAGTTCATTTGATTGACATCTCATTGCTGTCAGAAGAAAGTCCATAATGAACCTTTTTGAGTGCTTCAAATGCCCCATAGTTGGTCCTGCTACTAGAATTGTGCAAAAGGAGTTCCTATTCCATCACACCACCCTGTCTGCCCAGCCAGACCTTTCCTGTTTCTTAGGAGGCCATCCCTGACCTGCTGAAGTACTCCCCCTAGGGCAGGGCACTCCAGAAGGCTAAGAACTGGCATCCATTCAAATGATAATTTTAAAATATTTATTCAAGAGCCAGCCCTGATGTCTTAGTGGTTAAAGTTCTGCACGCTCCACTTCAGCAGCCTGGGTTCACTTCCTGGTCGCAGAACCACACCACTCGTCTGTCAGTAGCCATGTTGTGGTGGTGGCTCACATAGAAGAACTAGAAGGACTTACAACTAGAATATACAACTATGTACTGGGGCTTTGGAGAGGGGAAAAAAGATAGAGAGAGGAAGATTGGCAACAGATGTTAGCTCAGGGTCAATCTTTCCCAGTAAAAAAAAAAAAAAAATGTTCAAAAAGGATAAACTGAATTTATCTTCCAAAAAAAAAATATATATATATAGATATATATAAAGTGACTTACTAATTCATTTCCATTGTGTGAGGAAAGCTCAGCCAAATGTTCCCCTGCTTTCTGTAATTCTAGTTCTCTTAATTTTCCTTTACAATTTTCCGAGCCAGAACCCTTCTAGGAAGGCATGTTAGAAGTCTTGAATGTTATAGAATCAAATAAACCCCTCTCCTCTAAACAGCACTATACCATCTATTCTTTGATGCTGGCATTCCAACCCACTGTGACAGGTACACCCAGGCCACAAAAACACTCAGCAAGTGTAGAGCAGCATTGGAGAGACCTGTGGCTTCTTGTTGTTTTAATTTCCACTTGAGGGTACTGTCTATTTTAGCAGGAACCAAACAAATTTACATTTAGCTAATTGCATCAGGCATCATGTGTAGAAAACCAACCCAACTGGTACTAAATATTCAATTGAAGTGCACTGACTTTTTGCCCCCACCCAGGCCCTCACAGCCCCCTCCGGCCCCCAGATTCCTTCTCTGCCTTCTCCGCTGGAGCATGTGCTCCTTCAGGACAGGCGCCACCTTCTGTTGTCCACCACTGCAACTCCTAAGCAAGAGATAGACAAAAGTTTTTCTAAAGAACCAGTTTAGGTTGAGCTACGTAACATTCTTAATGTTGCTTCCTACCAGTTTCAGGCCCAATTTTGACACGTGCTACCACTGTTAGAAAGTCTCAAGCTAATATATATATAATATATAAATATATATACTTGTATATAATATGTTCATATATACATATATAGTATGTTATGTGATATATATAATGTTATTATAAATTATATTATATATTATAAATATATATAAGTGTAAAGGGCATCATGTAGTACCTTAGTATCTTATCAAGGCCAGTGTATTAGCAGAAAGTCAGTTTTATGGGTTTCGTTGTAAGATGATTCAAAAAGAATTTTTGTGCCAAGCTATGCTGTAAATACAGTTATATCCTTGTTACTTTAAAAAAAAAAAAAACTCTAAGGCTATAGTTTTTACAGTTATTATGAGCATGGTGCAGCATTTTACTTAGAGTAAGCTTCTCCCTTCCCCGTGGTATTGGTGAGCTTTCCACCCCGATTCCAGGGCGAATGCTCAGACAAGGACTTCGCACTCAGATCCCTGCCCTCTCCTCGCCCGTGGCTCCTTGGCAGCTCCGCCCAGCTCAACAGAGACAGAAAGCCCAGAGTACAAACATCCCAATCTGCTCATGACCAGAGAGGTTGATTCATTTTCTTTCCAGCACACACAGAGAAAGGTCAATTCAGGGACAGAGAGCAATAAAAACCTCACTGTTAGTGAGGAGAAGCTAAACTGAGCATTGCACACATTGATTTTTTTTCCCCCTAATGATACAATGACATCTATTTCTACCTACTAGTAAAACAAAAAAATATTGGATACATACAAAAAGTAATTAGTTATCACCCTTTTTAAACAGCCCTTGCAACACTTAAGTTTCATGCTTCTCTGTTGAGTAGTGGAAGTTGGATAAAACCCCCCCTGGTTTTTTCTGAGAGGTGATTTGCCTATTTTTGTAATTTCTCGACCAGGACAAAAATCACCCCTTATTTCAGACATTCTCCTGTGTACAAAGGGTCTAAAATGAGCCTCCGACGGTTCTGAATCATTAAACAAAGGATAAAAGTTACTCTAACAGTTAGAATAGTGAGAATAAAATTAATAAAGGGAGAGACAGCCCTGATGGCCTAGTGGTTATAGTTCGGTGACCCAGGTTCGGTTCCCAAGTGCAGAACCACACCACTCGGCTGTCAGCAGCCATGCTGTGGTGGCAGCTCACATAGAAGAACAAGGACTTACAACTAGGATACACAACTATGTCCAGGGCTTTAGGGAGGAAAACAAAAAAGAGGAAGATTGGCAACAGATGTTAGCTCAGGGTGAATCTTTCCTAGCCAAAAAAAAAAGAAACAACCAAAGGCAAAGGAAGTGGTTAGACTTCCAACATAAAAACAGTTAGAATCTGGAGTGGGGGAGATGTGCTAGCAGAAATCCACAGAGTGAAGGGCCCCCGACTCCTTTTCCTCCTAGAAGTGCCGGCAGGAAAAATCAGGAGAGCCCACATTTCTTCATCCCTGCTCTGACTTCTCCATTCACCTCTGAGGATCCAGCCAAGGTGAGGAATGGGGACCTTTAAAAAATGAAATCCCACTCTTCTTGCTAGCCAAAAATTGCAATCCTTTCCCCCACCAAAACGTCCACAGAACTTGTCTGGATTTGCCTCCTTTCCTTTCTCTTTCAGATGTCCAAGTGTGGTGTGAGTTTTTGAGAACTCTGAGCCTGCAAGCAGCAGTTCCTAACCGATTTCCAGGTCCTTTCAAATCAATACGTGTATACTTTGCACACAACGTGGAACCAGGCATGGAGAACCAAGGACTAGACCAGCGAGGAGCTCCCGAGCCCTCCGCAGATGTATTTAAGATGTAAGTTCAGATGAAGTCATACAGGAGAAGGGTTGGCCCTTAATTCACTGCGTGGCATCCTTTTAAGAAGAGGAGAATGAACACAGAGATAGACATGCACAGAGGGAAGGCAATGTGAAGAGTCACAGGGAGAAGGCCATGTGGCAACAGAGGCCGAGGTTGGAGCGATGCATCTACAAGCCAAGGATTGCTGGCAAATACCCGAAGCTGAAAGAAGCAAGGAAGAGTCTTCGTCTAGAGTTGTTGGAGGGAGCAGGGCCCCGCAGACACGTTGACTCTGGACTTCTAACCTCCAGAACTGGGAGAGCATAAATGTCAATTGGTTCAAGCCACTCACTTTGTGATACTTTGTTGTACCGCCCCAGGGAACTAATACACCTGGGTTTCACATGGTGGCTGAGAGGACCCACAGCCACTCCAGGAAATCACCTCAGGAGCATCTGGAAGCCGTGTGGTGGCCCTCTGAGGAAAAGTGCCTAGAGTGGAGTGGAAGGACACCAACATGACAAGAGCCAATAGGAGCCAATAGGAGATAGATATATATATTACGGCTGGGGTTTTTTGGGTTTTTTGGGGTTTTTTTTGCTGAAAAAGATTGTCCCTGGGCTAGCATCTGTCGCCAATCTTCCTCTTTTTTTTTTTTTCTGGCTTGAGGAAGATTAGCCCTGAGCTAACATCTGTGTCAGTCTTCCTCTACTTTGTATGTGGGTTGTCTCTACAGCATGGCTAACGAGTGGTGTAGGTCCCCATCTGGGATCCAAACCTGCAAACCAAGGCCTCTGAAGCAATGTGCACTGAACTTAACCTCTACAGCATGGGGCTGGACCCCAGGAGATATGTGTATAAAGAAATTTATTTTAAGGAATTGGCTCACAAGATTATGAAGGCTGACCAGTCCAAAATCTGCAGCATAGGCTGGCAGGCTGGAGACCCAGGGGAGAGCCGATGTTGCACATGAAATCCAAATCTGTCTTCCAGCACAATTCTCTTTCGCTCAGGGGAGGTCAGGCTTTTGTTCTATGTAAGATGTCAACTGATTAGACGAGGCCCACCCACATTATGGAGGGCAATCAGCTTTACTCAAGGCCTACTGATTTTAATGTTAATCTCATACCAAAACACCTTCATAGAAACATCCAGAATAATGCTTGACAATGTATCTGGGCTCTGCAGCCCAGCCAAGTTGGCACATACAATTAACCATCACACAGAGATCTCACGGAGTCCAACACTGACAGAAGGCTAAATAAGAAGGGAACAGGAGGGAGGATGGACGTAGGAACAGGTCAGCACATCCTAGGCTTGTGTTTCTCCAAGCAGGATCCTTAGACCACCAGCATCAGAAGCTCTACGTGGAAATGCAAATCACTAGGCCCCATCCAGGAATCCGTGAATCAGTACCCCTGGAGTAGGACTTCGGCATCCGTATTTTAAACAAATACCCCAGGGTATATTTATAAATAAAAAGTATATTATAAATATTGTAAAATATACTGTATATTTATTATGTGTATATAACATATGTCTGTATTGCAATAAAATTAATATTTATATATCATATGCAATAAACCTATTGTATAAATATTATATAATAATATATTTATATTAGAAATCAGTGTGAGAAGCAGAGCCAGTTGTCACAGTAGGGCTGTGGTTTTCTCTGCATCTTTGCTCTCAGTCTGCATCTGGTGCAGCAAAGCACATTTAAGACATGGCTTCAAGCAATTGCCTGCAGAGCTGGAATCATCCAGGTGTCCATTTTACCAAACATGACTGTCATAAAGCAACATATGTGGGTCTCCATGGAAGGAGTGGATGAGAGACAACTTCAGGCAGGAGGTGGCATTTGAACAGGGCCTTGAGAGACCAATCTGGTGTCACAGGCAGAAAGGGTGGGAGGGCAGTGAGGGAGAGGGAAGGACAGACAGCAGAGGTGCCTGCAGGGTGTGGAGGACAGACAGCGTTCAGATATGGCGACAAGGGTGGGAGAATGGGTGGGGATTCGAAAGTGAAGCATTTCAAACGTCAGGCTGTACCCTGTGTGCAAACCACAGTTGCTCTGGATGGCCCCGAAGTTATTCTTCTCAGCTAGCTGAGAGCCTTAATTTTAGATTCATCGTACCATACCAATGGTCACAGCGAGAGGGCGGATTAGAATGCATTTCGAAGTCGCCGTGGTTCCCTAGCAGCAGCACAGAGTGACAAGGTCAGCCTGGGCCTGAAGCCCAGACCATGTCAGGAGGCGTTCTAGCGCCTGTCCACATCTGACAACGCTGAGAAGTGCAGGCTGCAGACTGTAAATGTCTCTCTCTGTTGGCAGCCTCTGCTGTGGTTCATTCAGACCAGATGCCCCAGCCGGAGTCCCGGGTCCCATTTCGCTGGGTGCTCGGGAACTGCGTGAAACTCGAACCGGAGCATGAGGCCTGCACACGTCAGAGCCTCTCAGGCCAGGCTTCTTCATGTCCCCTGCTGCCTGCCAGGTTGTGACATGTCTGTTATTACTAGGTCATCACCATGGCGTGTTTATGAACCGGCCAAACACCTCGGCCACACGAGGGCAGGTGTGTGGGAGAGTGTTCTGGTTACTTCATCTGGTTCTGGGCTTGCTCCCATTTCCTCTCTGGAAAACACGGAAACCAAGGTGCTTATCGACAAGAAATAAAAGAAGCTGGTGAAAGTGAAAAGTGGGAGTAACACGTGAGTATGAAGATAGCCCTTGTCCTCTAAACACAGGTGTCCACGCAACGGTGGTCCCTTCGTGTCTCTCCTCTATTCTCCAAGTCCAGCAAGGTAAGTGGGACAGGAGACCATCAAATGGACACCACGCACACATCTCAACCCCCCGGGGCACTGCTCACATCTGGTGTCCAGAGTCCACTGCCCACAGCCAGGAAGCATCCAAATGCAATGATCTCATCTCCTAATTATTAAAAAAATTTTTGAAAGCCTCCTCAGGCAGTTCCTCTAGGATGTTCCTTATAAATGAGCCTCCCCTTCCTAGAAGTGGCTCTTAGGCACTTTAGATTGAGATCAAAGTTGATTTTAACAAAATACTCATGTCGAGTTTAAGAAAGAACACTGTCGACATCAGAGCATAAAACAAAGAGCAATTTCAGATAAGCATTAGAAATCTCTGGCTTTATTCTGATTCGAATCGTTGAAATGTTTGCAGGAGAATCACAGAGGTTTTGAAGAGATCTTTTCAAAGATGTCTCATCCTCAACATTAACAATGCCAATAATTGCAAATTAACCTCCCCCCTTTATTTTTGAGCACTTTCACGATAGCCTTCTTCCAGAGGAGATGATTATTCACCTGCTGTATGCAAGGCTCTGTGCTGGTTACCTAGGGAAAGGTTGCTGTTCCCTGGGACTGTGCAATCTGGGTGGGAGATAAGAAAAGCATGCATAACATGTAAATAACAACGTCGGGAGGTAAGTGTCTGCTCTGCTTTCTGCCCATCCCCCTAGATCCGGCCCAGGTCTCATCTCCTCCGTGACAAAGTCCTCAGCCTCTCCAGGTGGCCCATCTCTCTCTGCCCTAGGCTCCACTTGGCCACTTCCTGTGCATACACAGTCTTCACTTTGGACTTGATTATCTTGGGTGTGCTGCATTTGTCTCTGAGCTGGAGGGCAATCTTTTAGGGGGCAAAATTTACATTTCTTCTTTTTGAGCTAACATCTGTTGCTAATCTTCCTCTTTTTTATTATTTTTTTCCTTGAGGAAGATTATCCCTGAGCTAACATCTGTGCCCACCTTCCTCTATTTTGTGTGTGGGTCGCCACCACAGCATGGCTGATGAGTGGTGTAGGTCCGCACTGGGGATCCGAATCCTCAAACCCGGGCCACTGAAGCAGAACACACAGAACTTAACCACTATGCCCTGGGGCTGGCCCCAATTTACATTTCTTTTGCATTCCCCTCAACAACTAGCACACAGAAAAGACTCAACAGTCAAGTGACACAGCACAGGGCTCTGACTTCATGAGGCATCCCACCTGCGCAACTGGTAGCTCTCTGGCATCTCAGAGAGGAGAATGACCCAGAAGTAATCAATGTCAATGAGCTGGAGGCTCCAAGGGCAGAGGTCAGTAGGTTATCTATTTTCACATCAAGACCCATCATAACCAGCCTTGCGTGTGTTCTGAGCTGATTTCTGATAAATAAACAGAAGCACCTGAACAACTACTCCTAGGCTATTCGGTGGAGCAATGCAGGAAGAGATAAGACGGATCTTTGAAATCTTTATTATTCTCCTCGAAACACTTCAATAAATAGTCATGACAAAGCCCGGTCTCTAATGCTTATCTTAAATTGTTATTTGTTCTATGCTCTGATGTTAACAATGTTCTCTCCTTAACTGTTAAAAATCAACTTTTATCCCCATCTAAAGTGCCTAAGAGTCACTTCTAATGCGTGAATCCCAGCGAGTCATGGCGATGGAGCTGTCAGGAGCCGTCCTTTATGTCTGCTGGAAATGGATTTCCGAATTCTACCAAGCTTCCACAGACGCAGCTATTAAAACCCACCAATGTCCAAGTGGTAACTGCTTCAATTCCTCACAGTTTTTAAATTCTGAGCAAGAGTGGTTTTGCTGAGATATTTTATTGGGATAAAATATTGCAGTTTGTCGAAATGAACCATGGCGGCCTTTAAGCTGCAGAAGCTTGTGGCCATGATCAGAAAAAATCGCATCTTGATTTGCATTAGGGCGTGGACAGTGCTATGTCCTCCGGGCTGTAGACCTCATGACCCAACATAGCCCATTCTTGTGCCTCCATCTACAGCTGGAAAGTGGCCCCGCAGCCATCTGGAATGCCACCTCATTACAGGTACTTTCGTACTAGTCAAGTACAAGGAGTTTTGAACTGAAATATAAATGCTGTGATTCAGGAAACTTCACATTCAAAAGCTATTCCTGCAAATTGTTGCATGGTCGTGAGGAACAGCCTTGGATCAGACGGGACAGGTTTTCTTTGTGACTCTGGGTCCGCTCATGCAACCAAGAGCCAGTCTCTCAACCTCCACATCTCATCTTCTCAAACTCAATCCTATAAAAAAATAACTGTGCCTCTCCTTTCTCGCTCATGTGGTTTGAGAATTACTAAGATAAGGATGAAGTATCCCGAGTCAAGAGAGCTGTTGTCTAAATATCTGCGGCAGATCAGGATTGCTGGGGACAACAGCTATGTTAAATAGGATGCTCCACCATCAGTGAGCCCAGAACAGCCCCAGCTGTCACAGGTAGCCCAGATCAGCCTACTAAAGGACCTCCTGGAAGAAAGATTCTTCTCTGTCCCCCTGCTGGCCAGATCATCGGTTTACATCTCAGAGTGTGAAGAAATTCTTTTAGCTATAGCCTGAAATCCACACTTAGAACCATCTTAAGACCATTCATTCTGCCCAGCCTTAGTGCAGATGGAATGCGACCAAATATTAGTGCCCTGGACGACAACGTCTGTGTATTCTCAATCATTACTAACTTGCTCTCTTTTCCTCAGGAAAAATAACACCAACTACCAGGTTTGCTCATTAGACCTATTTTCCAAACCTGTCAACATCTCTAACTCTCTTTCAAATGATTTCTGTTTTCTTCTCTTTGCAGGTTATGCAACCTGCAAGGCA